CCCCCCGTTTTCTGCGGCCTTTTAGGCGAGATTTCAAATTACGGTCCCCTGTTCTCCAGAGCACTGAATAAAGAGGCAAAAGCCCTTAGAAATGATAGGGATATTCCACAGGCGGCTTTGGAAAAGGTACCGCAGAGAGGGACATGGATACCAAGTCACTTTGCCAGGTCTGTCTCAGACAACAACTCCTTCAACAGTGAGTCAACAACAACAAAGAAACAAAGAACACACTCTTTGATTCCGAATCAATAACGCTACATCTTCTAAGTTTACAGCACTGTTAGCATAAGCTTTAAACCATCTTTACTTCCACCCTGATCTGAAGCCTGCCTCTTCCTCTCACTGCTACTGTTGCCATGAATTCAGGTTAGCAGACGAAAATAGCCACCCGCCCAGCCAGTTGTTACATTGTGGAACAGCTTCTGTGACCAGCAGGTTCCACAAGCATCTGCCCTACTTCTTCCCAGCACCTTTAGCAGTCTTCATAGAAATTCCTGGCAAACAGCATTTAACCACCGTTAACCTGAAGTTACCATGAAGGAATGGAAGATGGCCCAAAATACAATTGAACATCCAACTGCTTAACCACATAAGTAATCCAGCAGCCACCTAAAATTCATTAGGCATCTTTACATTCAATCTAGAATTTCCTTCCATACTTAGAAGCTGCTCAAAAGTGCTTGGCTGTGGGGACGGTACAGTACCTCAGTAGCATACAAAAGCTAAGCAAGACGTGCCTGAATTCTGTCTAAATGCTCAGTGAAGACAAATTTATTAAGCGTAATCAGAGGTGAATGCAGAACAGCAAAGCTGAGCTTAGCACAGAGAATGGAGTCAAAGATCGTTTCATGCCAAAACAGAGCTGGGAAGATGACGGTAACGGGATCCCTCCTTGTCATAATGATGAGTCAGCACAGGTCAGCACACAGGAGAGAAGGCCTCAGTGGAGCAGAGTCTCTTACTCCAACAAACACTTTGGCCAGAAATTATTGAACTGCTTGAAGGAACCTACACTCCACCTTTCCTAGAAAGTACTATAGCCCAAAGTCACAGGTTAAAAAGAGCGAGCGCATGATTCTATAGCCTGACAGTTAGACTGTCAGTCCTCCTGCAAGGAAAACTAAACCTGGGCTGATGGTATGTTTCCAGTGATTTCTGCTTTTTATCCACTACCATCCTGAGACATAGTTCACCAGCTCGAGCAAAGAGCTCTGACTGACACAGGAGAAATTCTCTCACTTCTGAAGTGCAAAAAGGCAGTAGAAAAACCCCTCTGCTGAGACGAGTGGTAGCGAGACAAAACTGCCACTAGAGGGACTGTCATGGATTAGTGAAAACCACCAGGACTACAGCAACATACAATTAAAATATTAGGTAGATACCAAGGTTTTCCACTAAAACCCATTCAACCATGCTCCTCTTTAAAAGCAAAAGAACAAGATAAACCAATTCCAAAATGTTACCTGCAGCAATATCTTCCATGGCACTCTGTCCCACAACAGCTGACCCAAAGGAAATATCTTCCAGCAGCGATCCTCTTTCGCTATCGTACCCTTCTTCAGCTTCTCTATTATCTAAGAGGTTGGCCTCTTCATGCTCAGGTGGAACATTAACAGCTCTCTCCTCCTCAATAGGTGGTTCTGGCCTCTTATCTTCAAGCTGCTGAAATTTCTGATTGCTATCAATGGCATTTGGGTTTCGGATGGAAAATCCGTCATATTCGGCCTCTTCTGCACCATCTATGACAGACAGGGAGACATGAATTAAGCACTGAACTAATGTGTATTTCTTACCAGCAGCTGCCCCCGCTGAAATACGGCATTTGGCAAAGGTATCTTGACACTTTTCAAACACTTTTATGAATGCGGGCAAAAATATGATGATAGGGACACCTGAGATTTTAGATGCATGGATTTACTGTGTGAACTTTGCATTAATCACTGTATCTCTCATAATTAGGTGCTAGCTAGTTCAGAAAAGAAACTGCTCTAAATCCTCCAGGAAAATTCAGCACATTAGTACATGTGAATCCCTATTTCTTGAGGGGGGGAAGGTATAGACATGACCTGAAAGACTCCTTCTAGTCGTATTCACGCACGGATCCCACTTATCTTATACAGAACCTGGCCCATAAGAACAGACGTGCTGAGCTCAACGTTTTCTCTCAGGATTTGTCCCTGGGATGCCCATTGCAATGCCAAAAATATGCATTAAACCAAAGCAAAATCCAAGGGGATTCCACAGACTCTCTTCTTAAAGGCCCTATTCTTAAAGTTTCTCTAGGTTACACAGTGTTCTCTGGGCTAGGGTTTTATTTCATTTTCATCTATTTATTAACTGGTTTTACATCCTACCTTGAATATGCAGCTGATCATCTTCCTGTTTTGGAAGAGATGCAAGTGGGACACTCTCACTAGCAGACGAGTATTTACTCCTTAAAGAATATATTAATTCTTGAATATCATCCATCAGTGCGCTCTCATCATCATACAAATCCATTTCTTTCACCACTTCCTCTTTATTTTCTGCCACTCTGGAATCCAGAACTTTTCCTACAACACCCATAATGCTCGATTCTGAAAACTCAAGTATCTGGTCCAAAGCTTTTTCTGTATCTTCATTATTATGGCTTGCTTTCCGAGCAAGCTCCATCTCTACCTTCATGTCGTGAAACATGGCTTCTATCCTAACCACGTGTTGATGCCCAAGGTACTTTTGTAGACGTATTACACGCTTTTCATCAAGAAAATCTCTCATTATTGTGAGCCGCTTCACAGACTCACTGAAGTCTGTTACAGTGTCATCTGTGGCTGCTGAGGTGTCAGCAGGGCTGGGGAAATGTGCAGATTGCTGGTGGTCATTTCTTGTATGCTCTAACTTTTGCACCTCTTTTGAGTCTTTCTGTGAAACGCCCTCTGGGAGATGACCTTTCCTTTGGTTAAAGTCATTGTTGTCTTCTGCATCAGGAGAGTGGAAATTATCTTCTTCCACAGCTGACGGTTCCTCAGCTTCGGAAGACTCATCATCATCTTCCATGACGTGTTCCGTCTCACCCAATTTAGCATCTTTGCTCACTGGTACGTCAACCTCTTTGTTCCCAGTCCCGCTTGCATCTTGCACGCTGATAGGTTTTTGAGTCTCCTTAGAAAAGGAATTTGTTTCCTGTGCCGTTTCGTAAGTAGGATTTGCAGTTCCCGAAACAGCTTTGCTTAGTACTTCTAATTCAGGGTTTGTACTTTTAACATTTAGCGTATCCCCCTGTACATTTGCAGCCCTTGCTTGCGACAGCTTTGCACTTGCAGCATTCTCATCTTCCAGTAGTTCTTCCTCTGGTTGTTTCAGGTCAGGGTCATCTTCAGCATCTGGCTCTTCAGATGGCAATTCTGATCTCAGTGTTCTTTCTTTAGCAAAATTTGTGCCAAGATTTTTGTCTGAATCTGCATCCTTAGTACGAGCAGTTCCTTGCTGAGTAAGATTCTCTGTATTAGTATTCTGTGGAGTGCTTTTTGATTTTTCTTCAGGGGAACTTTTCTCAATGCTTTCTTCAAATACTGTCCTCTTGCCAAGGTTTCTTGAAAGCTCTTCTTTCACATCTGCCTCTGAATACTCAGTCTCATTTTCCCATGAGCTAGGTTGCTCCACAGCTCCTCTATGGCTGTGGTCTCCCTCCCCTGCAGGGGTTTCTTTCATGTTTCTCCTTTTTATTTCAGGTTCTTTGTTAAGAAGAGAGGTGGTTTTCTGATTTTCATGATCAGTCTCCCCTGTTTGTTTCAAATCTTCTCCATGCCTTAGAAGTTCTTTCTCCACAGTGGGCATTCCATGCTCCAGTTTCTCTTTCAAGAGGTCAGTATCTCCTAAGTCACTTTGAGATGCATTTTTTACCCCTTCCACTGGTTTGGCTGGAACATTAACAGAAGGCTTGTTCTCAGCTCTTTCTTTCTCCTTTGTTTTCTCCCATAACATTTTGTGCTTTAAATCACTTTCCAAGTCCTCATCCAAGGCGTCATCCTCAAAGTTTTTCTCATCTTTCTCTACTTGAGCAAATGACAGTCTTTCTGGACTTTTGTCGGTATCACCAACAGGGGGTTTTAAAGCATCTTGCTTGCTTTCAACAAATGATTTGGACTGCAGATCATCTCCTGGACTAGGCAAAACATGGGGATCAGGCACAGCTGTACTCTTCAGCTCTTCACTATGTGACCCAGTTCCATCAACTGTGTGCTGCTCTTCAAACTGTTCAGTTTTGTTTGTTTTTTCTTTTGAATCCAGATCACCTGTACCTACAGGTTCCTTTCTAAGGAGTTCTTTGGAGAGATCCTCAGGTTGAGTTGTTGCTGGTGCTTCTCTTTTGCTAATTAGCATCACCTCATCCTGTTTCTCTTTTGTTCGTTTAGATTCGGACCTGTCCACACCTAAACTGTCACCCAACTTCTTGCTTTTACTGAAGGCATCCTTAAAAATTAATGCATCTGAATAGGATTCTTCCTCATCGTCTCTTTGGTTATTTAGCTCTGTAGCACCCTTCGCATCTTCATCAGGTTCATGATTTTGTGACTCAATGTCATCGTTTTCATCATCATCTGAATGCGCTGGGGATTTGTTTTCTTCCTCTGCCATAAAAGACAGCAAAGGGATATCTTCAGACTGATCTCCAAAGTCTGGCTCCTCCTCTGCATCATGAGCATTAATGCTCAAATCTTCATTAAAATCATCTTCGAGTGATGTAACAAGGCGAGTCACTTCATCATCTGATACAACAGCGTCGGCAGTTGAGCCAAATTTTGTTTTCAAGTTCACAGAGAGCTCTCTGTTTAAAAGCGTATAGGCATTGACTTCTTCATTCTCTTTGTCAAGTTGACTGGTTTCACCCTGAGGAATACTAGTGTTTTTGGTATTTTCACTTTCTAGCCCTTTTAGTTTCCCATGTAGCATTCCTTTCAAGTGCTCATGTGCAATTTGATCTCCCTGAGAGTTTTCTTCGTGACTATGGACACTGGAGTCTCCCCCAGTATTTTCAGTTCCTTCTGTAAGAGAACTGTCTACTTCCTTTGTCATGGCGAGGGCTTCCTTGTCATCTTCTGCGCTTAGCTCATCTGTCTCCAAATCATCAAGCGGCTTTCCTCTATCAACCTGTTCAATCTCTTCATCCCTTTCAATTCCTTTGGCTGGTTTTGTCCCTTGGTCACTTGATGCAGTTTCCCCTTCATTTGCTGTCATCTCTTGCAATGACTTCAAAAGCTCATCCACATTATAATTATCAAAATCATCCCTTCCACCATCAAAGCAAACAAAGTCTGTTTCCTGAAACAAAAAAATAGTACATATTCACAAATATTATTTTCTTTATTACAGTGATGAGACCAGATCCATTTGGTTGGTTAGAGAGAGATGCAGCAGCAAAGTAAATTATATTAATCGTGCAGAATTACTCCCTTGAGTCCTTAACCAGAACTCTCTGAAATCAGTGGAAGTTTTGCCTAAGGACTCTTAAAAACCTAAATAAAAAGCTTATGGCTTAGCCCCATCTAAGACCTCCTAGTGAGGAACAAACAAAGTCAGCAATGGAGTTGACAGTATTATACTTTACTCATCACATAAATCCTGAATTAAGAACAAGTGTATTGCTGAATACCAGTGAGGAGAAGAAAAACATCGCTAAGCTTGTTTGTCACATCTCTTTTAGCTGGTCTCTCCTCAAATGTGGAAGCCCTCAAAGCAGGAGCTGCCTGTCACACAATTTCTGAAAAATAAACAGAGCGTAAGCCACCAAACACAACTGCGTAAGGGTGCGAAGCTGCGTCCACAAACAGGCCTTACTCACACAACTCTGGAGTTACTAGCTATTCGTGCATGAAAGTCATTTATGTATGTAAGGCTTGAAGGACCAACTCTAGAATCAAAGGGCTAAGTGTATCAAGTTCTGTTTGTTTCTGATAGCACTTTAAACTTCGAAAGTGTGAGAACAGAAACAAACCTGAATACATACCAAACAGCCTATGTGAGAGCCAGCTAGCAGCATTTCTAGAGCTGAATCCAAACAGATTTTGTTAGAAAAAACCCAGAACATTGAAGAAAAACTCAATGCCCACATTTTGGGCTGATGTTTATGCACCCATCCACATACATATCTGCCTGCTAACTAAAGGTAACTAAGGATCACTGAAATTCTTATTCTCTCCTCAGAGATTTCATTGAATGCCAAGGTAAGAAACAGTAAGAAGCCCAATTTAAAAATAACAAGACTTACATCTGTTGGTAATTCTAGCTCCTCATTGGAATAATTATGATTTATTTCAAGTAAATCCTTTGGAAAATATCCAAAATCGCTTCCAACCTGCCAGAAAAACACACACAATCAAAAAGCAGTAAAGAAGCTTTCAAAATGATGCGACTATATTAAAATCCTAATTAAAGACACTAGTAACAAACCTGTCAAACAAGTATTTCTAAATGAAGTTTAACATAGTGAATGAAAGAAAAAGGTTAGCGATACCTTATTTATGCAAGAGTTTTCACTGAGGTTTTATACTGACATTTCACAACACCCCTGTGAAGTTGGTGAGTTTTACTGTTCATGTTTTAAAGCCTGACGTGTAACAAATTATTAGGAGAGTTGGGAGTGAAGCCCAGGCATTCTGGCTCACGTGCTTTAACTGCTATCGTGCGCTCTCACTGGCACCACACATGCCTCCAATATTTTCTCAAGTAGTAAGCAGAAGAGGATCTTTGACTAATAAGATTTACAACCACGCACAATATTATAGCCTGAAATATGCTCACTTTGTAGCTTAAGAAAAAAATTAATTCTTAAAGTAGACTTTAGGAAAATGTAAAATTGTACCTGAGGTAATAATCTATTTTAAAACCCCCTTTGCAAATGCATTGTTGCTTGTCAGTGATTAATACAAGCAAAAAATCGGCTGCAGATGGCTATTTTCAAGCAAGTCAACACGCTAAGCCAAGGCAAACAGTGGAGGACAAGAATCTGTCTTATCACTCACTGGATAAGATCTACACAGTAATGCTCTCACTTGAGAGTTCTGACAAATGCTGTCAAGAAGCCAATATTAATAGCATGTTATCACTGCGTAGATTAGATAAACAGGTAATTAGAGCCTGATGGACACACCTAGAAAGGTACAGATTTCCTAGACAACCAAAATATCCGGGAGAAGAAAAAACTGTTGGTCATTTCATCAATGTTTTGTTATGGGAAGAAGATGACAATTGCCAATTTTCTTGAAAAGTTTATCTGGGAAGAGCACACAGTTAAAGATCAAATTAAAAAGGAAGCTAGTTATGTCAAAATAATTAGGGATATATATATTATACATATCATTACATTGAAACAAGGTCACCTGACCTGAAGTTTTCTGGATTTACAATGGCATAAAAAAAAGAAAATTGTATCCAGTGAGTAAGATGTACTAACAGAGTTGCTTGGGTTTTTTTTGTTATCATGCAAGCAAAGTAAGCACTGATACATTATAGGGTTTCCTTTTTTTAACTATTTCTCATTCAAATCTTACCTTTCATAGTTGAGATCTCTGAAGTTATTATGGGTTTAAGCTGAAGGAGGGTCAATTTACATTAGATGTTAGAAAGAAATTCTTTACCGTTAGAGTGGTGAGGCACTGGAACAGGTTGCCCAGAGAGGTTGTGGATGCCACCTCCCGGGAAGTGTTCAAGGCCAGGTTGGATGGGGCTTTGGGCAACCTGGTCTAGTGGAGGGTGACCCTGCCCACAGCAGGGGGTTGGAACTAGATGATCTTTGAGGTCCCTTCCAACCCTAACCATTCTATGATTCTAAGTTAGTTATACATATATAAACAAATAAATCCATTTATTTATTTTCCCACCTTTTGTAAACATATAGAAATACTCTTTTATGGAAAAGAGACAATGTATGCAGGTTTATTACTGGGAATGGGAAATTGAACTAGACAAATCAAAAGCTTGTCCTTGTGCAGTATACTACAGTTGTATTCTAAACTGGTCTGTTTCTATGAACTTCTATTCTAGGTTTAAATGATCTTTCTGAAAACAAAAGCCAAAGCTTCAATGTAGCCTCCTTACAGACTAACCTCTGTGACTACCATTAAAATTAGGCATCACAATTTGAAACTCATTTAGTGTAATCCAAGCTGCTGACCATGCAAGTCCTCTGCAGTGACCCAGTTTACCACTTATATGGTTTACGAGCCATATGGGATCTGCATGCCCAAAATTTCATCTGCTCCTCTCCTTACAGGTCCTCTCTTGTAAGGGGGAAAAAAATGTCCCATTGTGCAAATAAAGGAAACATTCTTCAATCTCTGCAGACACCATAGAGGAAAGGCATTATGAATGCCAAGTAAGTAACGGAGAAAAAAAGCGCATCCTTCATTTCCACTCACTTCCTAGCTAAAATGCTGTGGGTGGACGAAACACATAACTGTGCGTATAGCATCTGTGCCCAAGCGTGGCAGCCAGCTGCAGCAGATCCACTGACCGCCGCCGACCGAGAAACCAGCTTCTCACACCACCTACCTCAGTGACAGAAAACAGGTGAGAAACAAAACGTTCAAATGTTTTGAATCTTAAAGGCCACATCCCTAAAGCACAGGCATCACAGGTACCTAAAACCGCACAACATCAAAAGAAGGGCGCTGGTTTAGTCTGCCCATTCTGAATGCTGGTGTCGTTAAGAAAACACAGAAACAGGAACAAATTTCCTGATCCTCTGGGTCCTCCAGACATACTCTGCCTTCCTGTCTTACCCTTTCTGTCTGCCTTTCTACTATTCTATGTAGAAGATTTGAAAAGAAATGAAAAAAAAACCCAAAACCCGACCACCCAAAAACCCCATGATCTGCAGCCAAGTTCATTTCTTGTAATATGAGGCCAGAAATAGTTTTCTCAACCTTGAATCAAAGGAATAAATTTCAGCCCTTTGCTGCAAGATACAATAACAATCTTCCACAGCAAGAATTTCACATGTCTTTGCTGAAATGTTTTGTTAAAAAGCAGCAGCTTTTACTTAAATTATCTGAAGTAGTTTTGGAGTTCTGGATCCTGCTAAAGATGAGGGCAAAATGCTGGAGAAATGCATAGGAGGAAAGTCTACATAACACAACTTGATGATGTAAACTATGCGAGGTAGATGCTGAAGAGATTCATTTCACAGCAGGACAGGGTGCATTGGACAATGAGAGTACCAGATGCGCTCCACCTTTCAGCTTTAGGAAAAAATCAAGTATTTTCCTGGAACTGAGGTATTTGTGAAATTTGTAACATAAAATCACTGTTAAATAATGGTCATAGAATACTATCCAAGCATTTGGCTTTGCTTTATTAATGAGGTTTAGACAGCTCTGCTAAAAACTCCATGCCATATAATGTATCGAATACATATTATAGCTGGGTTCCAGAGTTTTTTCACATGCAAAATACTCACTGAGCTCAATACGAGTTCTGCAAGCAATAAAGTAAACAAGACTGGGATCATAAACTAAAGGATCTATTTTGTTAAAGTACAGCATGTTTGCTGGCACAGGGGAAAAAAAAAAAAAAAAAGAAGAAAAAAAATCAACAATGGCTTGAAAAGGGCAGAGTAAATTAGAAAACCAAAGGCAAATAAAGCCCGGACCCAACTGCTATAGATTTTTCAGCCTTGGTGAAAAGCTCCTTTCTTATGAGATCATCTCCCTGCAGGTCAAAAATACTATTGTATTCCTCATGGCTCCTCAAAATCAATTTCAGGATTAGAGCCTGTATTTACAACATGTTTGAAATAAGTAGTTGAAGCTTCTCATACACACATCCCCCTGACCTCTGTGCCCATCTAAATATCAGAATACCAGTTATCCCTTGATTTCATCATTTCCATTATACCCTAATAAATACTTTCCCCCAAAACTTTTGGGAATGGAAACAGGCAGTAGGGTAGATGCATGAGATCAAATGACACACGAGCAAAGTCACGCCATGAGATCCCAAAAAGGCTGCGGCAGAAGGTAACATGCCTTCCACTGGAACTTGTTTGATCGCAGACTTCACTAGGTAGCCTGTTTTTAATTAGCAAGCGACAGCCTCCCCCTAGCTCCAAAACTGCACACAGCAAGCACGGCTGATCTGCATAAGTCAAGCTGCCCAGCAGAATCTGGCATCGGAAGTCACGTTACGTGAGAGAGACCCCAGCGCTATCTGCAAGTCAGGGACAGGGTCAGACACACCAGCGCCCTGCTCAACATGCAACGGTAGGCACCTCTGACCCCGTTGCAGCATTGGCAAACTGGTTGTTGCAGTATTACAATTAATGCAGAAACACTCAATCAAATCGGGGGGGGGAGAAATGACTATAGCCACCAAATGAAAGGAATTAGCCTACTATCACTGCCCTAAAAGGAACATAGAAAATAGCATAACACAATTAGAAAATGACAACAAATAAAATGGAGCTTTGAAATTTTTACATCTGCCCACTTCAGCTTTTACTTGTTAAACTCAAAGCAAACATCCTTTTAACTTGGAGACACACCTAACTGTATCATGAGCTTCCTATCAGTGAATCGTTAAACTGAATATTAACTCAGCAATTACCTTAAACCTGCTGTCTGATCTTGCAGCCTGCATTACACCTTGTTAGAAGATGCAAAACTGGCCCCATGTTGCTACTCCGCCTCTGAAGAACTGGCAGCCCTGGAAACCTGTGCCGGCTAATTAACCAGATTATTTATGGTACAGTACATGTCAGAAGGGAATTACCAGCATGATACAATTATAAACTCTTCTTTAACCACGTGCTGCAGTTTTCTGCTCTCTTCTGTATCATTCTAATTGGATTCAGCTCCTGCTGAGAGCTTGGCTGTCCACACCCAGCCTGAACAGGTTAGAGAAAGTGATACATCCTGCTTTTCACTAAACCACTAGTCCCGCAGTCAACACCCAGGTGTGGCTTCAAGCAGCCTAGACCACCGTCACAGGCAACTGTCTCCCCCTTGTAGAAGACCAGAGTAAAAAAAAAGAGGTTGAAAGAAATGATTCGGACACAAAAAAGTATTTAGGGGACAACTGGAATTAGGTTTAAGCAACTTCCACAGTGCCAGCATTTTCAAGAGAAATCCACAAAAATTGCTTCTCCTCCAGGGTCTCTCAGTGCTGCTTCTGTCAGGCAAATAAGGTGTTTATCGTGAAAGCCCAGAGGAGTTAAATACCTGCAAGTATGGGGACTCTCCCTTCCCATTAAGCCTGTCTTGATTGCCAAAAGAAAACAACGACTCAGACAAGGCCACTACCCTGCAAACTGCTACAGTGTGTTACTAAAGCTGAGAGACAGACCTTTTAAATATTGAATTTACCTTAATTCTTTTTTGTTTTACTACTATTTTTCCCCTGCAACTCTGCATACAGCTTATATAAAAAGGGGAGATGGCAGCCAAATATTAAGACGAGAAACACGATTAAAACATGTACAGAGAACAATTTTTGGCAGGATTACACAGGGTGCAGGATGAGACCACGTCAGGGGTGAACACAAGCACAGGCTTAAGCCTCCCTAGATGGGAAGGGAGACTCGTGGGCCACCACTTGGAGCATTGCAATGGGAGGTTTCAACACAAAGGCAATTTTCTAACAGTTTTTAGCACGCATTAGCGTTGCCCATTTTTCACAGCACTTAATGCCTTATGTTTGATCAAACCGCATCCCAGTTCACACTGGTCTCAAGACAAAATGGCATTCATTATGTTATTTAGCTATGTTCAAAACCCTAAGTGTTCTCCTAAGAGGCAAAAGGAAGAAAAAAGAAAAATATTACTGACAAAAAGCACCAAGAAAAGCAAACAGAAAAATGCTTTACAGTACTTACACTTCCAGCCCAGAGCTCGGTTGATTTTCCTATTAGTTTGTAATATACATATACCGCTTCTCCCTTCTTAAAATTTACAAAGCGACAGTCTGGACCTTTGAAATCCTGCATTGCCTTCCCTCGGCACATTAACACTGTCCGAATAAAACAAAAAGCAGAGTATTAATTAAAAAAAAAAAAAGACACTTTCATGAAAGGGGTCTTTGCTGACTGACTGAAAAAAAGACTTGCCCACACGCACCAGTCTCCTATTTTCCAGACTGGGTCAAGACATAATTTAACTGAAAGTATAAGTAAAATAAGAGGTTATAGATAAAAAAAATACGTAAGCTTGCTGATCAAGACAAACTTGAGGATTACATTTCAGAAGTGCGCTATAAAGCTATCAGTATTAAATTAGATGGGCTGAAAGATGACATCTGTGTCCTAGCGAATCAGCCCTGAAATTTTTCAACGCATCAACACCGCCCAGAGAGCGAGTTTATCAGAAGAGAAGGGGGGTTTGCAGGGGAAAAAAAACAAAACAAAAAAACCCCAACAAACTAAAAAAAACACCCAAGCGAACAACCCCAGGAGCTGTGGCGATCGGAAAACTTGATGAAAAGGCGAGGAACGACGCGGGTCGGCGCCGCGCTGCCATTCTCCCGATTCTCCCCAATTTCCGTGCCAGGTCCTTGGGGACTTTGGGAAATGCCCCCGTCAGGCATGCGACGTTTGCATCTTCTCCCGGGGGCGCGGGGCGGCCTCTCGGTCT